GGTTGCCCCTAGGTCCCTGTTGTATTTGTATTGCCCTGTGTCTTGTCCATTCTCCGTGTGCAAGAAAAATGTCGGGCAGAGGATCGTAGAAGGAGTCCGGTAGGGCAAGCAGGTTTGAATGGTGGGCGTCTATTTCCTTCCCGTGGCCTTCCCCACGAGGTCAAATGTCACTGGTGACTAACTTTTGTACTCTGAATGTGGTCAGTCCAGTTGTGGCGAAGTTTCTAACTTGGCCCACGGAGACCGGCGCCGTTAAGAGAACGCGTTGACAATATTGATGGCAGAAGCGAGCGTTGGCAGTTCTTCTGCTGATGGTCCTTTGGGGCGATTTTCTGCGCGTTACACTCGGCTGCTAGGCCGTGCGCAATTTGGAGCCTTCTTTTAAGGACTTCGTGATATGGAACCTCTTCTGCCATGCACGGAAGGGACGGCTCCAGTATTTCTAGCCCCAAGGCAATGGCCGGAAACTGACCGAACCGAAACATGAGATAGCAGTGGTTTCTTGTGTTGCGCGTGCACCCGAGCTTCCGAAATACAAGAAGCCGTATGGTATTTGGGATCCCATCCGAATAGATTCTTTCCGATAGCACAAGCCATGATGTTAGCGAACGTCTGATGAAATCGTTTAAATCCCATTAGCTCCTGCGGTTCCGGCGCCTGCAAAGGGAGTGTTACTTTGAGTTAATTTGTAATTTTTTCTAGAGCGAGCATGTGAACTCTGTACCACGGTCTAGATTTGAGGGAACTCTGGTTATCCATACCGGCAAAAAAAACTTGTTCACGAGAAGCACGGGCCACTGTATCCGTTTTTTTATCCGGAATTGCGATTCCTCAGTCCATCGCGTGAATTTCAACATTGGGCGGTCAAGTGTATCTTGTTACCCTGGGCGGATGGAGGGTTTATTGGTCCCATCAGATCGAAGAGCTAGGTTTGCATAGGCCGCCACTGGTCCCTCACATCTTGTATTTCTAATGTCCCGGTTTCCTAGCTTTTCTCTTCCAAAACAGGTGAGAATGTGTCACATGCTTCGCACAATCGCGAACAATCTTGGCCAATCGAAAACTCTTTCTAATGAGCTGTGCGGTTTTAAGATAAGCAGTATGCCGGCCAGGATGTATGTGGGCACATTTCTATCACGTACGGAAACCATGCACGTGGTGCGCAGAGGACGGGTGTTTTTCCATGCGCGCATGAACACGGTATTTACATAAGAAGGGCCATATTCGTCGTAAAAAGTAGTTTTTCAGTTTCAGTCCTTTGCCAATTCGTTGCCAGTTGCTGCAGCTCTGCGCAGTTCTGTTGTTCCTCAATATTTCTAAGTTTATCCCAAGGTACCGGAAGTTGGTCGGAACATTGGGCGATAACGTTAACGAGCCGCCACTGCCTTAAAGCATCCACGTGAGGGATGGATTTTCCCTGGCCTATGCCTCCACGGTTAAAACTATTAACTCGGACAGTTCTGCGAAGCCATCTAGCTAACATGGGGCGTGGTAAAGCCGGTTGGAGAAAGGTAATTTAAGGGCCGGAGTGTCTGTTCGGAGGGTGAAAAATGTCTAGGAAGCAGATAGGAAACCGAATGTTTTTAATCATGAAATACGCCCGAAGTTTCCAATTGTACCGCCGAGTAAGATTTGCTTCGCCTTGTTTAGCTTTGCTGGGCTAAAGGCAACTGGATGTTCGCCGTCTGGGAAACCTCTGCGACCAGCACCTGCGGCCTATGGAAACCGTTGCAAGGCGTCGACCTCGAGAATAAAATTCTTTCATTGAAGTCAGGGAAATTCTTTGAGGACAGGATAACAAGTAAGGGCTTTGCATTAGTCTTGTCGGAAAGCAATCTTGAGGCTAGTACTGCGTCCAGTTGAAAAGGGGTTCCCTTTTTGGTTTCAAGGTCAGTGAGCGGGATGGCCAAGTTTCAAGAAAATTTTGGGAATTGAAAAGTTTTCGATAGTTTAAAAATTGACAAAACCAAGGGAAAAACGTGAAACTTGGGCCGTTAAAATGTAGTCCGGGTCTTGGGGTAGTTTTTTTAATTTGGCAAATTTCGAGGTTTTTGTCTGTTGGAAGGCAAAAATCTCGCCCTTTGGCCCAAAATTGCGGTGACCGAGAAAAGTCAAATTTCATCCAAAAGGAAGTTTTTTACATTTCGAAGGTCTTCAATGTTAATTTTGCTGCGTACCTCAAATCTCTCT